TACTTATGTTGGCGTTCATGACATACAACGTGTGGCTCTGTTTGGCCATAATATTGGGTTCAGGTGTCGGCTATTTTCTGGTCGGCGCCCGAAAGCCCAACACCTACTCCGCCTATGAGGACCATTGCAATTAAATAGGACCATGATGATGTTTTGCTGTACATTGTTATGTTTATCATGTAATCAATGTACTTTTAATTAGTTTTTCACTTTTTAGTAATCAAGACAATTTTTATAGAATTAACCATTATTTTATTATAATACTAGTAATTGCCCGCTGGTCACTGACCAATGGCCAAATATATTTATAAAATTAAAGACAAAATCAAAATTAAAACACAAACCCAAACCTAAAGCAAAAACTAAATCCAAACCTAAACCCAAACCCAAATCTAAACCTAAACTTAAACCTAAACCTAAATCTAAACCAAAACCAAAACTTAAATCAAAACTTAAATCAAATCAAAAGTTTTGCAACAATTTATAGACAAAGTACCATGAATACTTTAGATAAAAGTTTTAATAAATATAACAAATATATGATGATAAACAATTTACAGTTTGTATACTCTTAGCAAATAAACGGTTAAAAAATTATACAGTATTCATTTTAGTAAATAAACAATTATTGCGTGTAAATAAATTCATTGCAAATTTAAATATATTTGATTATAGTTGTATAACTAATTAAATTTACATTAAGTACTCAGTAAACTAAGATGTTACATAACACTTTTTAGTATAACTAAAGTCTATAACTTTATATACATTACCAATGTCTGTTTAAATATGCTCAAAGTAATTTAAGTTAATAACATAATAACCTAGAGCCCGGGTATTAAAATAGAATAATTGCCAAACGACCTTGATAAACTTTAAAATACAATATAAATTAGCAATAAATTGCTAATATTTAAACAGCTAATAAATAAAAATAAAAATAATTACAATTGATGACAAAGAATGTGCATATTTAAAAATTATTTAATATTACTAAATTATTCTTGGTAATATTGTTATATTTAGCAGAAATATTTTATATAAACACTTATAAAATTAATAATCTACAACCACGTGTTTAACCATATGTAATTTATTGTCCATCTGTATTAAAATGATGTTTATATAAATTAAAAATAACCTTATTACTATTATTATTAATGCTAATAATCCTACATTGATTGTTTAGTAAGTATCAATACAACTGAATAAATATACAATTATGTCATTTACATGTAAAATTAAATACATGGCATTATTAACCAACATTTTTAATTTATGATATATTTTGTAAGTTAGAACTAGCAGCTATTACAATTTACACCATGGGTGCTGGCATGAACATGTACTTTCATACGGGTTATGAACAAATGATCATGTTTCAACACTTGTCGGCCAAAAATTCTAAAGGTAATAAATCAAGATTACAATTAAATTAATAATTAATTAAATTTAATAATAACAATAATAACCATAATTAATTAAATGGCCAGAAATGATTGCATTCTGTGCCATATTTTTCGTAATAGCGATTATCTCGCAATGGTTTCAATACTACCGGCAAATAGTGGGCCAAACAATGCATAGCAAACCCACTACAGGTCAACCCAAACCTCCCGGTGCTGTACCCACAATATCGGTCACACAGTTTCAAATGGACGGGCCAACTAAAAATGCACGCCAGGCCAATTGGCACATGTATGTCACACATGTTTGGCTGACAGCCCTGTATATGTGTCAGACAGTCATGGCTTATATACTTATGTTGGCGTTTATGACATACAATGTGTGGATTTGTGGTGCCGTTATATTAGGCTCGGGTGTCGGCTATTATTTGGTCGCTTACCGAACGACCAGAAAGTAAAATATATTTATTTAATTTTATAATCTATTATAAAGATTAATCTATTATTTTATAATCTTTTATAATCTTTAGTTTTTATGTATTTTTATTGTAATAACAAGTTTGGCGTAGAGATTTAATTATGCTGTAATTATTTTGTTCAATTCTGACATTACCTAATGTTAAATTAAATAATGACTTATTTTGTTAATAGAATAGTTGTTGCACATTTAATAAAATAAAAATATCAAATGTATCATTATTAATTTATTAGATAATAAATTGTATGTATTTAATAATAAATTCTGTAATCTGTAATTATTTACTAACAATCAAATTGGATAAGATAAACATGAAATATATGTGCAAAGATATTGCTAGTTGCTAGTATTATTTTATCAACCGAATTACTTAATATTGTAGCATTAAAATAGCACAAGTCTTACTAAAATGCACCCAATTTACATTGTTTACTATAAAAATATTTAATGCACCTATAACTTTGGTAAAATCTCTAATAAATAACAAATGATTTATAATAGAGTGCAATGTTTAAGTTTAAAACCTTGGTCATAAAGGGTGCATTTGTGCAAATTAAGATTATTTGAATTAAAAAGTTGCCTGCTTGTTTAACATACAAGATTAGCTTAAGATCATCGAGATTAAATATCTACAGTATATAAAGAGCGTGTAATACGTTAAAAGTTTAGTTAAATTTTATAATTTTATTGTAATTTTTTACATTGATTTTTATTTGTAAAAATTATTCTCATTATAATTTATTTTCAAAAATGACTTTATATAAATTGTTAATTTGTTTAACAATAACTATTAAATTATGTATTGGTATTAATGTTGACGTGAATACAACCTCTGGTGTAGTGAAGGGTCAGAGACTACATGTGCTCAACACAAGTATTGACCAGTTTTTGAGTATACCTTATGCCAAACCATTGGTCGGTGCGCTCCGGTTTGCCAAACCTGAACCAATCAAAACACCACTTAATGTAAACACATTTAATTCATAATTAATTTATTAAAATCTAATGTTTGAAAAATAATTTATCATAATTTTATATTTAATTAGGATATTATAGACGCAACGAAAGCCGGCAACTCATGTATACAGAGACTACAAGACGTGGACAGGGAGTTGTTGGGAGACCTGACCCTAAGTGAAGATTGTTTGGTATTAAACATATGGACACCAAATGCGGGCAATAATAACACAAACAAATCACAGCTCAAACCCATTATGTTTTGGATATATGGCGGCGGACTGACCGGTGGCTCAATATTTAGCACAGCTGTATATAAT